CTCTCACGTTCTATTACAATCATACTTATAGTTTAATTGAGTGCTTTTCAGTTTACACTCAAACATAAGTGATAACTGCTAGTGGGAAAGTAAAACAGCATGACTGTTGGCTTCCTAAAGTGGTTGGGCTTCCTAGGCCTGTAGAGTGGCGTGAACAGTAGTATATGCTCTCCTTCCATCTTCTTGGACCTAATTAATAGGTGGCATTGACATCCTTGATTTGCATTTGAGCATAATTCACAGCTGCCGGTCCTCTTTTAGCTTCTGTCTTGATTGAACACAGTTGCATATTCTTTCCTAATACTTGTAGCAGCCTTGCACATCCATGAATTAAGTGGAATCTAAAATAGAAGTGAAAACACGATATAACAATTCAAGATGTAAATTGTAATATATATTTAGGGATAGCTTTCACCTTTTCAGCCCTGAATTTTGCACTTGAAGAATTCACTAGAGCAACACTTGTGGACTAAAATTATCATCATCCCATGCACTTTCATATGCTCCATCATTCTTAAGAATAATAAAGCAATAATCTGAATGCATCGATGAATCTTCAACATTGTTTGTAACGAATGAAAGGTTAGCGTTCACCTGAGCATTTATTTCCTTCTCCAACTGTTTTTCCCGTTGTCTTGTAATAGGTCCAACAATGTCAATAGCATTTTGTTTAGATGTGGGAGAAGTGTCAACGCTGGGGATGTCCTCATCAATAATCCATGGAGGAAACCAACAAACCATTCAAGGGCTGGAAATGCTCTCCTCGGGGTGTCTGACGCTTTGGACGCGCTTTTCCTGGACCTGCGGAGCCCAGTATGGAGCCTACTCCCGGCTTCTCCATAAAAAATGTTGATTCTCCATTCTTCCCCGTCGTGGCCTTCTTTCACCGCGTGCATACGTCTTCCGCGACTGACTCCACCGCGCCGCCCGCTCGCCGCTCACCTTCCTAACGTGGGGGATGTTCGCCGCTCCACCGTGGGGGACCACCAGCTCGCCCTATTGCCGAGAGCCGCATAGCCGCTCATCGGTGGCCGCACAACCGCTCACCCGTTGGCATCCCCCCTCCCTCCCCTGTGCCACACCGTGGCGTTGAGCTCCACGTCAACGAGCCTCCATTCGTCCAAACAGCAAGCAGATGCTATGCTGAAAGTGCATGTTGTAAGAGTATGTTTCCTGTGTTTCAGGTGTTTCATATGTATGTTGCAAGTGTTGTACATCGATGTTGCAAAAGAAGATCGAGATATTGCATATGTTGCAATGACTATACACGTATGTTTTAAGTGTATGTTCGAAATGTTTCATCTGTTCCAGACGTATGTTGCAAGTGTTTTATCTGAATGTTACAAAATAAGATCTTGATGTTGCATATACATGCATGTTGCAAGCATATGTTTCAAATGTTTCATATGTATGTTACAAGTGTTTCATCTGGATGTTGCATATGATTGCAATGGTTTTCAAGTGTTTTTAGGCGTTTTCAGGCATTTTCACAAGTGTTTTAGACGCTTGTTTCAAGTGTTTCATCTGTCTTCTTTTGTATGTTGTAGCTGTTGCATCTAGATGTTTCAAAAGTAGATCGGGTGTTGCACATTGGATGCGCGTGGGAAACGGCTAGCGGCATGGGCAACGTTTAGAGCGGCGTGGGCGACGTCCGGGGCGGCGCAGGTCCGCTGCTAGGGCGCTCGCTCGCTCGCTGTGCGGGCACCGTCCGAACACTAACGCCCCAAATCAAACGTCTAGCAAGTCCCTTCAAGGGTGGATCATCAGGTGATCCCCTCCCTTATCACATGTCTTATCCCCTTCCAGTTGGGGGTCTAGTCCCTTAATTCTCATGGAACAACTTGGAATCTTTGTATGCATCGTTTATTCATGCGTATGATTACTCGATTAAATTGAAGCAAATCTAACCAAAGTTAATAGTTGAGAACTTTTGGGATTATTGCTTATATTAGTTTCCTCCCTTCCTTTGTTTTCATAAATTTCTACATTTTTCTGTTTTAAAATTCCTACTTTAATGATGTTAGAGAAAATTAGGCGGAGCCGTGGGCGCAGGTGGGTGGGAGCGGGAAGTCACTACTCACAAAGACCAGGCGACGGTGACCGCGTGATGACGACGCAAACAGCGCATACGCTTCGAAAATTCCAAATGAGGGCAAAACGTTTTTTTTTAAATTTGGGTGGCTCTACAACTGAAAGGACCGATGATGCCGCCTAGAGGGGGGTGAATAGACGTTTCTAAAATTCAACCCTTTAAAATGTGAAAACAATTAGTGTTGGAGTTTCTAAAAACTGATGTTTCTAAAATTACCCTATAAAATGCGGAAACGATTAATGTTGGAAACTCCAAAACAGAGAAATAAACTTCTCACGAGTTAGCCAACAGAGAATACAAGGTATATAGAATAAGTTTAGAAGGTATAACCCTGCAACAAACAAGTTAGAGCAGCAAGTATACAAATTCAGCGTAGGGATCAAATACCGAACACGTCCGATATTGATACCGGACACGTTCGGTATTCACGGGTTTGCCCGACCAGCTCTCAACTTGCTCCGATTGATTTCTCTTTTCAAACCAAGTTCCAGACCACTATTTGTAACCAGTAGACAAGCTCAAACAACACACATAGATCACAAATGCCAAGTGAAAAAAGAGATCGAGACACAAGAATTGTTTTACCGAAGTTCGGCCTCCGTCGAGACCTACTCTCCGTTGGGGGGGCTGCGAGCGACCCAACAAAGGTCAGCTCTAGAGGATCACGATGGCCACTCTAATCGGAGTCTTTTCCAACTTTTTTTCCTCCTTCCACTAGATGATCACTTTCCTTGCGGTGGTGGAATCGAACCGTTACAAACTTTCCGAGGCACACTACAAGCTCTTGGGTGCTCTCCGGCGATGCCTAACCATCTAGGACCGAAGAGTTCAAGAGTAACAAATGCAAATCACAAGTGCTCAAGGGTGGCTTGCTCTCAATTTGAATCTCACTCAACCCACAAGATGGATTTTGCAAGTTTAAATCAATCACTCACTAAGAGAGGGTTGGAGAGTGTTCTCAAGGCTCAAAAACGTGTCTGGAAGTTAGCAGAATCAGCAGCCTCCGAAGGTGGAGGCTAAGGGTTATTTATAGCCCATTTGAAAAACTAGCCGTTATGTAGCCGTTGGAGAATACCAGACACGTCTGGTATCCGGTATTGGCCGTACAACCCCAACGATCACAATGTCAGCAAAGCTACGAGGCGTCGGAACTCCTGACGATTGCTAGGACTTTCGACTCCCTGAACTCTTGACTCTTGTCGGAACTCCCGACGAGCCAACCCGAGAAAACCGAGAAGGTTACTGTGCCTGGGCAAACACAGGACACGTCCGGTATTCCCAGAGTCAACAAAATGAGTTAGTTCTTTTGGCACTCAAAAACACTCGAACCTCACATGGGTTGGCTTGAGCACGTATGAATAAATATCTATCAACATGATGCATACCTATAATCTCGAGATCAAATGAAAAACGAAATTTAAAGCGCTTGAGTTGATTTCCCTTGAACCGAAACGCCATATACTTCAATGATCATTAAGTGAGGGTGTCAATCATGTCGATCTTAATTTTCTCCTTGAGCATAGCCATCTTGAGCATGTGACTTGGTTGCATTCAATAAATGTGAGTTTACTCCAAATGTATCAAGCCACTTTCCACTAACACATTCAAGATTTGATTCTCCACTTCAATGTATCAGTCATGATTTGATTAGTACCAACTAAATGCAAGTAATTCCTTCTTCACCCTAGCTAGGTTCCTCGGTCGTCAAGCCGTCACTCGTCCTTCACCCTTGCTTAATACCTCGAACCCTTTCCTTGCTATTTTGCACCATCTCAAGCCATCAAGTCACACTTGGTGTTGAATCATTCATTTAGACCATTTGTGTAGATGTCTTTCAATGTAACAAGCCTTAGAATGTGAGACCATTCCATATGCAACCCCTCATGTCTGATTAATTATTTGTCAATGAGCTTGCTTTCATATGAATCACCGAAATCCCACAATGAATAAGCCTTGCATGAATTACATTTGCATTGTTGTCTTGTGTTTGAACTAGATTGTTTATACAACAACACATCATTTTGACTTTCATCAATTACCTTTGAGATAACCTATTTCATGTTCAACACTTAACAAACATGCTAGACCTTTAATCATGTTGTCATTCAATCATCCAAAACCCACTAAAGGGCTTATGCACTTTCAACAATCTTTCATTACCATCACTTCCGCTAAATCGCTGATCACCTGCATAGTTACAGAACCGGGAAGAGGTCCAGTCCAAACACATGACTGTCCTGGTTTCCAAGCTAAACCCAAACTTGCAAGCTCGTGCGCAGACGAGTTGGTACATCGTGGAATTAGAGAAATAGCTAAGCACACAAATTCATTAGCTAAGAGGTGCCGAATATCGCTGAAGATCACTCTGCCGCAATGGATCTCGGCGTTGCTTTTCCTCAGACTGGGCACATTTTCACCGAAAACTGAAGACCGAACCGAACCGAAATTTTGGTTTTTTCGGTCTTCGGTTTCGGTTTTGGTTTTGAGTTCAGTGAACTTTGGTGTTCGGCCTCGGTTTCGGTTTTTGGGTGCCACCGAACCGAAACACCGAGCAACCAAGCAACGTTCAGTAGCAAGCAACATAGGCTAAATAAAAAAATGAGCAAAGAATGACCCGACACGGAGGCGACAAGCGGCATTGCCCAATAAAGGCCCACCACACTCCAAGTCTCCAAGTTACACGACTATAGCCTCACCCAATTTGCCGTGACGCGACCTATATCACTCATTCACTCGTCCCAACCCTATCCATCCATCCACGCACCACGCAAGTTGCAGCGGCTGGTAGCAATGGCGACCGATGACGGCGGTCGGCGGCTTTTCGTAATCCCTAGCCCACCCGGAGTCGGAGGCGGTGCGGCAGCTTCATTTGGCGGTGGTGGTGGCGCGATGCCGGTGAGCGGCGGCGATGGCGGGCCGCTTCGGTGAATCGATAGTTGAGGCCGACGGCGGCGGCTTTGGCGGCGTGCAAATCGGCGGCGGCGAAAGCGGGCGCGAAAGGACTGGAAGGCGACCGGTGCGACGCTCGTCTCGAGCAACACTAGCACTCGCGAGCGCGAGTTGAGCGGGACATCGAGTGGGACATCGCAGCATTGCGCGGCATCGGCGGACCAGCCGTACCTTGCTCGATTTGTTCGTCTCGCCGTTCTTCATTTTCCCTATTGATTTGTTTTGGTGTTTGCCTCGGTTGGTTCGGTGGAACCGAAAAACCGAACCGAGCAAACCGACACCGAATTCGTCGGTTTTCGTTTATGTGGAAAACCAATCGGCTGTTGATTTCTGCAAACCGAAGTTTACAGGAGCCGAACAAGCCGAACCGATTCGTCGGTTTTAACCGAATGCCCAGGCTGAGCTTTTCCAACATGCGGATGCGGAGGCGCACACACTCCACTCCACGCTCACGTCACGGTGCACTAGTGCAGTGCTCCCGTCGTATTTTTGCCGTCCCAAAAAGCACAGGTCCGTCCGCGTCCGATGGGCAGGAGGGAGCGGGGGCGCCGTCGTAAAGTCCACTCCATTCCGACCTCGTGAAAAGGAAGGCATTGTTTGATGATCTACTTCAATTCGCATGTATTGAAGTAGAATGAAATGAAATTTAGTTTAATTCCACTCCAATCTACTTCAACAAACATGGATTAAGATAAATACATGCACATCCAAACAGGGACGAAAGAGAACCGCGCTGGTAATAAAAAATCATTTTACTCCTCTAATTATTGTCGTGTGATCTGTTTTTTCTTAAATTCTAAACTTTTCGAACTGTTCAAATAACCTCTGCTATCAATTGAAGTGGTTATCAAGACAATTTATTCTTTTTTTAGTTAATGTAAAGATTCAATAAATAGTTGACAAGATTTTGAATCCATGAAAAATACATATAAACTTCTAAAACTTTCAAAGAAATTCAAAGAAAATCTTAGAGATAGTTTGGGATATGAAAAACATAAATAAAATATTTAGTGCTCGTAAAACTATGTCTAGAAGCCTGAAAAGAAACTACTCTAAGAAAAAAGGGAAGTTATCAAAAAAAATGTAGAAAACTCCCAAAAATTCTAGTTGTTATCTAAATGCGTTATAAAAAATTTTCATGGCAAAAAAAGAGATGCAACCAGCATAAATGCTACATACCTTAATGCTGAATGCATTTGGGCTGTGCATTCCTAACTGTTGTGCCTACGTTTTTTGTTGTGAAAAGTTTTCAAACATGAATTAGAATGTTTTGGATTTTTCTAGAGTTTTTAGATATTTTCGGCTTCTAAAGCTAAATCTAATTTCTAAAATCTTCCAGAAATAACACGAGCTCTAAATATTTTATATCCCAATCTATCTCTAGAACTTTAGTCAGATTTTTTAAAGCTTGGAGGCGTTTTATGTGATTTAAAGATCTTATCAAGTATTTATACAGCCTGTTCGTTGGTTGGTTTCTGAGCTAATAAGCCCGGCTGGTGCTGGTTTGTTACGAGAGGAAAACACTGTATCATGGCTGATAAACCCTGGCTAAAACCAACAAGCGAACATGCTCATAGTTTCTTTAATTAAAAAAGATGAAGCCGTCTTCAAAACTACTTTGAACCTGTGCAGGAAGGTTAATTTGGACGATTTTAGAATTTGAGAAGGATAGAGTATGCTGAACTAATGTGTTACGGGTGTGCCACCACTCAGTGACCAAGCTAGAACTTAAGATCAGGGGGGGGCGGGGGGGACATATATCAATGGGGAGGCCATTTACTTTTCAGTTACATGACAAATTAGCTAGGTCATTAGGGGAGTTTTGAGAGTTCAGCAGAAGAATTTCCATGTTAAGTCAAACCGCCCTTTCTATTTTCAAACGGATGGAGTATTTTTTTGTTTTCTGCCTCTTGTCGCGATCCCGATAGTCACGTCTATCACTAGGATGGGCAAGGCCCTAATCTCCTCTGGCTCTGCCATGGACAATAGTGAATAGTCTGATCTCATCATTCTTATCTTGCTCCCGGGCCAACACCACGCGCTGGCGAGTGGCTACCGATCTGGCGCCTGCCAGTCATGGTCAGGTCAAAGGAATGCACGTCCTCTTCGTTTTCTCCCACCTCCGCTTGTTTCGTTTCATTCGCTCCAGTGGTGGACCCAGAAATTTTGTAGAGTCTGGGCGAACATAAGAATGAAGAACAAGTTCGCATAAACATATCGACTGCTGATATAAACTAAAAAGTATGGTTTTACCAGCTCCTGTTCTTTTTGAGAAAAATATAAAAATAGTTACTTTACAATACATGAAGGAGATTAGAGCCGGAGCCGGTAAGCCACCAATCAGGGAGCAAGGAAAAGGAGATATCACCAATTATCTCCGTAATTATGACAATAAAAATAAATTGTACATTAACAAATTGCTACCAAAAGTCTAATATAGACTATGTAAGCTCACAGGTATACGCTACATACATTTTTAAACATTTTTATGAGACCGTCGAAGAATGGTAATTTAACTGTAGAGTAAAAATAAAAAATTAATATGAATTACTACATGGTAGTATCTGAGAGTACTATCAGCTGCTTGTTTGTCGCTCTGTGAGAGTCGAGATTCGAGAACCAACGAAGTGATTGATTATGGAGCAGGTAGTGATCGACGTGCTAACCAAGACGCTGCATTCTCCAGAGCTGCGGTGCTGTACTGGCTCTGCTGCCCTGTGTCAGGCGGTCGCCGTAGAGAGCCCGGGCAGGTGCCCAGGGTCGCCGGGCCCTGGGTCCGCCTATGATTCGCTCGTCTTTGCTTCTGCCAATCTGCCTGTATGTCAGCCTGTATTCTGCCTGCCGTCTTCTACAGGGATGAAAGGTGTTCGATGGAATGCCGGTGAGAGGTGCTCATCTACAGACTACAGGGATGCACGGATGTCATGCATGGTGCGTTCGTAGAAATTCTTCACCCATGTTTCCCTGCTCCATCCTATTGCCAGTGGAACATCTCGTGTTCTTGTTGCCGCGTGCAGTGGACAAAGTCTTCATCACTAGTTGTTGCATCCTCAAAGCAAAACTATTGATACTAAATGGTGCGTCTGCTTGGGAGACTACTGATGGCTAGTTTATGTATTTTGCCCCCAAATCCCACTGCGCCAGTGTTACGACGATAACATCAGAGTCTCTCGCAGATAATACAATCTCATTCCCTTTGCAGTCGTTCAGCTCTAGGGACCCAGATATATATATGGTGATGCAGTTTAGATGAACCTGCCTGCCTTTTTGTTTCCAAATGAATACATCGCCGAGATAAATTATGTAGTAGTACTTTCAAACACAGCACGGTACCCAAAAATATGCTTTCATTAAAACACCATGTCATTTTTTTATCATTTCATCTCTAGCATTAGACATGAATGTCAACACACATGTAATGCTATTTTATTTGAATTGAACATGACTATCTTCTTTTCTGTGCAGAAAGGGAGAAGGAATTCTAAACATGCACTTCATCTCTGGTCTATAATCTAGATTCTAGACTACTATTTTGTGAGGGTTGCATCTATGGCCTTCTGCGATGCTTAGGCTAAACACGTTGACATTATCTTTCATCTCTAGCATTGAGACCAGAGAGTGTTCTGTTTGTTGACAAGTCTCAGAAGGAATCAACTAACTCCCACACAAGAATACAAGGTGCAACCCTATTGATATACTAGTAAGTTAGCTGATCTGATTGAAGACAGGGTGATGAGAGCCCTTGGTGTAGCACATCTTCAAGTTCTCAAAGGTCGTCTGGACTACAAGAAGAGCGTACTTGTTGATCCTGAGGTGAAGAGGATCCATGATAGTGCCATCAACACCTGGCTGAATGAGCTGAAAGACATCATGTATGATGCTGATGATCTGATTGATCTCTGTTCCATCAAGAGCCAGAGATCATCCCATAGCCAGCTATCCTCTATGCTGAATCAACGGGTATGCCACAAAGCCCCATCCTTCTCTTGTCTTGGAGACTTTCAATTCAACTGTGAGATTGGTTATAGAATTAAGGACAATAACAAAAGACTCGAAAGAATTTTGAAGGACAGAGTTATGCTTAGGTTGGACAGAATTATCCCTGAGCATACTAGCGTCCCTAATGTAGACATCTGTCAGACTGATTCTTTGCCCGATGTTGTTGGGGCAGATATTGTAAACAGTACCAATGAGATGGTTGAGAAACTGATTGCTTACAGAGATGTGGATTCAAAATTCTGTGTTTTTTGGCAACGAGGCGATGCCAGGAATTGGTAAAACAACCTTAGCTAAGAGGATATATAATGATCCAAGGATAGAGAAGGCATTTCGCATTTCGGCTCAGGATTTGGTTGTGTTACTGAAACTTTTGATGAGATCAATTTGCTGAAGCAGATGATTAGGGAAGCTGGAGGAGGTGCAGAGCAGCAAACCACCAGAGCAGAGCTTGTGAGCTATTTGCCCGTTGCATATATGGGAAGACTGTATTTCTAGTTTTCAATGATGTGTGGGGCGCAAATGTCTGGACTGATCTACTATGTAGGCCTTTTGAACATCAGCTTCAACCCAATGGGATCCTAATTAGTACAAGGCACAGAGCAGTATTACAAGAAACAAGTGTAAACTTTCTTTGGATCGACTAGAGTAGATCTAGGCGGATGAACTCATAGATCCATGAAACACATACACATTTAGACCTAGAACACTACACCGAGAGGGAGATAGGGGAGAGAGGGCTGGTGATGAACCTGAGCCTCCAGATGATGTCGCGGTTGTGCTAGCCATCGCGGGTTCGGTGATGGAGGCAGCACACGGGCAGCGACGGGTGGAGTAGAGGTTGCACGGACGTCGATGCAGTGCGGTCGGGCGTAGCAGTGGCGACGACAAGGATCAGCGGAGCTTCCCGTCGCTGGCTGCGCGCCCTCTCGAGATCGGTTTAGGGTTTGTCGGTGGGGTTTGCGGCTCACGGCGAACCTCGTACCTTGAGCCGCCGGCCCCCACCTCTTTATATAGCGCAGTGCGACGGGGGCCCACCAACCATGTAGGGTTGGGCGCCCCCGATCAGGGCGCGAGACCAAGGCCCAATAGGCCGTTGGGCTTATTAGTCAGGAGATCAATCTAACATTCTCCCCCTTGATCTCACTATTACTTTTATCTTTAAACTTTAAACTTCAATCCTTTTATCCTTACTCATTTCTTCACAGATGATGCATAGAGCATGTCTCATCGTCACGGTCAATCGCCGATAGATTTAACAGCTACGATGCACGTCTCTGATCTGAAATAGTTACTTTAACTTTTGGGCCCTTTATAGTCCAGGAGTCATAGGCTTTCCCTTAAACCCATGCCGGCTACATGTTCTCTGAACACGTTGGGCGGTAAGCCTTTTGTAAGCGGATCCGCGAGCATCTTTTCGGTACTTATATGCTCAAGACTTATCATTTGATCCCGGACTTTATCCTTCACAACATAATACTTTATGTCAATGTGTTTGGCAGCACCACTTGACCTATTGTTGTGAGCATACTGTACTGCTGGATTATTATCGCAGTATAACCTCAGTGGTCTATTGATGTCGTCAACCACCTTCAAACCGGGTATGAACTTCTTTAGCCAGTTCACCTGCCCCGTTGCCTCATAACATGCTACAAACTCGGCATACATTGTGGACGATGTAGTGACGGTTTGCTTTGAGCTTTTCCATGAAATAGCTCCCCCTGCGAGAGTAAACACATATCCAGACGTGGATTTTCTATTATCTCCCGCATAGTCAGAATCTGAATATCCCACTATATGGAGTGAATCAGATCTTCTATACGTCATCATGAGGCCTTTCGTTCCTTGCAAATAACGCAAGACTTTCTTTACCAATTTCCAGTGTTCTATTCCAGGATTGCTCTGGAATCTGCCAAGTAACCCGGTAACAAATGCCAAGTCAGGGCGCGTACACACTTGAGCATATTGCAAGCTTCCGACAGCTGAAGCATATGGAACCACTTTCATTTGATCGATCTCATATTGGTTCCTGGGGCATTGAAAATCCCCATATCTGTCGCCCTTGACTATAGGAGCAGGTGAGGGACTACATTTGTGCATACTGAATTTCTTTAAGACTTTTTCTATGTATGCCTTTTGTGACAGTCCTAATACCCCTTTACTTCTATCTCGGTGAATCTCGATCCCTAGAACGAACGAAGCTTCACCAAGATCTTTCATATCAAACTTTGAGGACAAAAACTTCTTTGTTTCCAGTAGTAGACTGACATCACTACTAGCAAGTAAGATATCATCCACATACAGGACAAGGAAGATAAACTTCCCATTCTTAAACTTTGCGTAGACACAATTGTCCTCAACATTATCTTTAAACCCAAAATTCTTTATTGTCTGATCAAACTTCAAGTACCACTGTCTTGAAGCTTGTTTTAATCCATAAATGGATTTCTTTAGGCGGCATCCCAAACGTTCTTTTCCTTCTATGACAAAACCTTTTGGTTGTGCCATGTAAACATTTTCTTCTAAGTCTCCGTTGAGAAATGCCGTCTTTACATCCATCTGATGTAATTCCAAATCGTAATGTGCCACTAATGCCATTATGATTCTGAAGGAATCCTTACACGAGACTGGAGAAAAAGTCTCATTGTAATCAATCCCTTCTCTTTGTGTAAAGCCTTTTGCCACAAGTCGGGCTTTATATCTTTCTATATTCCCTTGAGAGTCAAGTTTTGTTTTGTAGACCCATTTACAGCCTACTGTTTTGGCTCCTTTAGGAATTATCTCCAAATCCCAAACTTTATTTGCATTCATTGATCTCATCTCATCTTCCATGGCCTCAAGCCACTTTGATGAATGATCACTTTTCATGGCTTCTTCAAATGAGGTGGGATCATCCCCCATTTGAAATTCTTCAGTGTTGTACACTTCATAATCAGCAGAAATAGCTGATTTTCTAACTCTTTGAGACCTTCTAGGGGCCTCCTCAATTGGCACATTTTCTGTTTGAGGCTGTTGTTGCTCCCCCTCATGTGTGGCAATAGGTTCTATAGGATCCTGAGCCACAGGTTCCTCATCATCATTCATTGTTGCCACAGGCGGGATAACAACAGGTGCTGGCACCACAGTGTCTTGTACTGTTGGTGCAGCAACAGCAGGTAGTGAGAAAAATGGCTCATGAATGATCGGAGTGGGTGCATACACCCGCTTCTCTTCAAGGTCAATTTCTCGAGCTACCATGCTCCCCCTAATCATTTCATCCTCTAGGAAGACAGCATGTCTCGTTTCCACAAACTTTGTATGTCTGTTAGGACAGTAGAAACGAAAACCTTTTGACTTTTCTGGGTAGCCAATGAAATGGCAACTCACTGTTTTGGGATCTAGCTTCCCAATGTTTGGGTTAAAAACTTTAGCCTCAGCAGGGCTCCCCCACACACGCAAGTGGTTAAGTGATGGTACTCTTCCTGTCCACAACTCATACGGTGTTTTGGGCACCGACTTACTTGGTACTCTATTGAGAATATGAATGGCGGTTTTTAACGCCTCCATCCACAGACTCGTGGGTAAAGTGGAGTAACTTATCATACTACGCACCATATCCATCAAGGTACGGTTACGCCTTTCAGCTACTCCATTCTGCTGAGGTTCGCCCGGTGTTGAATACTGGGCGACTATACCATTCTCCTGTAAGAACCTTGCAAAAGGTCCAGGAACTTGTCCATATGGGGTATGCCGACCGTAGTACTCTCCTCCACGGTCAGACCTGACTATCTTAATCTTTAAATCATGCTGATTTTCAACTTCTGCTTTAAATATTTTAAATTTATCCAACGCTTCTGTTCTTTCTTTAATTGGATAAATGTAGCCAAACCGAGAGTAATCGTCTGTGAATGTTATGAATGAATCATAACCATCCACACTTTTCACAGGAAAAGGACCACATATGTCTGTGTGAATAATCTGTAGAATTCCTGCGCTTCGTTTGGCATCTTTCTTAATTTTCTTTACATACTTTCCTTTTATGCAATCTCTATATTGTTCTAACTCTGAGAGCTCTAATGGAGGAAGAATATCATTCTTAACTAGTCTTTCTATTCTCTCCCTCGAAATATGGCCTAAACGACAGTGCCATAATTTCGACAACGCATCTTGAGCTCTCTTTCGTTTTCTGTTTCCATTGTTCGATGAGGATACATTTTCATTCACATCACATACGGAATTAACATTTTCACGAAGTGATAACAAATAAAGCTCGTCTTGTCGGAAGGCAAGACCAATACATTTATTATTAAACAATATCTGACATTTGCCATTTCTAAAATGGCAATCATAACCATCATGGTCCAACTTTGAAACACTAATCAAATTTCTTTGCAAAGAAGGTACATAAAGAACATCTCTAAGAATAATTATGAAGCCATCAGCAAGCTCTAACGGAAGATCACCAACGGCCTCAACATCTGCTTGTTCTCCATTTGCGACTTTAATGAAACTTTCGCTTCTTTGCAAAGTTCTCATCGAACGGAATCCCTGTAATGAATTAGCAACATGAATAGTTGCACCTGAATCAATCCACCAAGTAGATTTTGAAAACTTTACATACAAGGATTCATTTACGAACGTAATAATGTTCTCACCTTTATTCTTCATAATCATCTTTAAGAAATCAGGACAATTCTTTTTATAATGTCCTGTCTTCTTGCAGTGGAGACACTGGTCTTTAGCCACTGGGAATTGCTGGTTCTGAGACTGTTGCATGGGACCTTTTCCAGATGATTTGGAGGAAGAACTGTTATTATAGTTTTTTTCTTATCTTTTAGGTAGTTGATGAGAACCACCTTGTGAAACTTTTATTCTTTCCTCCTCCTCCTGCACACACATGGCTATGAGCTTTTCCAAATCCCATTTTTCAGTCAGTATGTTGTAATTAACAACAAATGTGTCAAATTCTTTGGGCAAAGAAGCAAAAATCAAATGAATAAGAAACTCATCCTTGAGTGTCAAATCCATTGGTTTGAGCTTAGATGCCGATTGCTCATTCTCAAGATATGTGCTCTCTAATGCCACCGCCGCCGCCACAGAGTACCTTTTCGTGACCAAACCGCTTGATCAATTTGGGTTGCATATATCTTTGAAGAGCCAAAGTGAACCGACTCTTTATTCGTTTAGGTACTACTGTGGACTGTGTCACGATCTGAAATTGAGCCCACTATAGCGAGGCTCAATCGTGTTCTTTATCTTTGCCGAGACACTTCTTGTTGGCAAGTGACCCATTTCCTATGCTC